TTCTTGGGCCCAAGCCCAACATGAGGACCGAAAATCCAAGCCCAGCTTGTGTAAAATTTCCAGTTAGGCTGGTTTGGGCTCAGGTTGGGCCTGCCCAAGTTGCACCCCTAGTTAGATGGTCTAGTTTGGATGTGAGATGGTATTTAAAAAATGTTTTAGGAAATGGTTTTAGATGGAAACGATAGTGATGAGGGGTAATTTGGCTGACCTACCACAAGTAGACAAGTGGTGGGCCTAAATTGCCTGGCGACACCTTGGCACCACGAGGCACATGACCAAAGCAACCCAAACTGACCGTTTTGGTTTGAATCCCAATTTATGAGAGGCTAGTTGGTCGCTCCTCGATTGGGTTACATACACCACCTTGAGAAGATGAGCTAAGGACCTCGGAGGTCGACATGGTCTCCCCACCCCTAGTTGATGTAAGCTTAAGAAATAGGACTTTTGGGGTATTGACCTGCCGACCTACGTGGCGAAACACCCTTATTTGGAATGTCACATCGGTTTCGAGCCAGCCGACGACACATCACCTACCCAGCACACGTAGGTATGGATCATCGCCAACGTGGAAGAAACATGCTCCAAGGGTAACAGATCGATAAGGCTGGTCGTTCCTTGTTATCTTAGACACGGAACTCAAACCTCGATGCCTATAAAAGGACCTCATTATTTTGCCAAAAGATATGCGCATATTGTGCTAATTACTCACTTCATGTTGCTCTCAACTTTCCTGCCATTGACTTATGCATCAGAGTACCCAACTAGGGGCGGAAATGAGCTGAGCTTTTCACGAGTTATTTGAGCTCGGCTCATCTCGTGAGGCTTGTGAACTAACTCATATATATAATATATAATAAAATTATAGAAAATAATATATATAATAAAAATATTATAATTATTAATTTTTTAAATATAAAATAAAAATTTTTATTTTATAAAATATTTTTTCTAAATATTTTTATAAAATATAAAACAAGTCGAGCTCGAGCTTATGAACTCTTGACTTGAGCCGAGCTCGAGCTTATGAACTCTTGACGTGAGCCGAGCTCGAGCTCAAGGTTCTGGCTCGAACTGAGTTCGAGCTCGAGTCTGGTACTATTTGGCTCGGTTGGCTCAAACCCACCCCTATACCCAGCCTGGGATCAACACCCTAGGTACTCAGATCCTTCTTTTCAAGTAGTTCGGTCGACTGACCTCATTAGCCTGCTACAAAAGATAGTTTATGAGAAATTTTAAGAAAATGAGATGTTTTAGGAGTGATCCAATGGGATGATATCATTGATAAGAGAATTAAAAAAGGGATAATAACATATAAGGGCAACTTTTGGGGTTTGATATCAATAAAAGTAATCTATTTAAAAATTTTCAAAAATTGGTTAACTTTTTAAAAATAAAATCAATAAAGGGCAAAAACACTATTCACCTTCTTCTTCTTGCCATTTGTTCACCAGAGTCGTCGCCCACCATCGCCTCCACCTCCAGCAACGTTGTTGGAGGTTGCCAGAGGCAGAAGTGGCAGCGTCGGCACTGGTGGTTTTTCTGTCCAACACCACCACTTCCACCCACCTCCGCCTCTGCCTCCGACAACATTGTTGGAGATGGGTGGAGACAGAGGTGGCGGCGGCGGGCGGTAGCGGACAACGGTGGTGGGTGGTGGCGGGCGGCGGCGGACGACGGCTCTGGTGAACAAATGGCAAGAAGAAGATGAACAATAGTTTTTCCCTTTACTGATATTATTTTTAAAAAGTTAACCTATTTTTGAAAATTAAATATATTTTATTGATATTAAACCCCAAAAGTTGCCTTTATTTGCTAGAAACCCATTAAATTAAAAAATCAAAAAGTTCAGAAAAAAGGACAATTAGAATAATGATCTTGGAGCAAATACAAGCTAGTGACTAGAAACTGTAATGTGGGTCGAGCTGGGCTGGCACGACCCACTTTTGCTGGCCATTCTTGCTTGGCACAAATTCCCCACTCGACACGTCCTAAGGCTCGAGCCAAATGGTCTATGTGCTGACTACTGAGCAACTGGCCAACATATCTTTAAAAAAAAAGTAAGAAAAAACAATGGAAATGGAAATAAATTAAAAAAATCTTAAAATTTTATTCCATATGAATTATATATATATAATATGAATTATAAGTTTCATATTATAATATTAATATAGGCAATATAAATATTATAATACGACATAAAATACATAAATCTATACTACTTTAAAAAGCACAAATAGCCTCAAGAATATTTCTGAAATTTTTTAAGGCCAAAAGTTACCCCTCCATATTTAAATTTGTTGATAAAAAATGAGGGCAAATAGGGTAATCAGTTATTGATATTAAATTAGTTGAAAAAATGTAATTTTAAGATATTCAATGCATTCAATTACCTCTCATTAAATCCAACATTTAAGTAATTAACATACATTCACCTTCATTAAATCATATATTTAAAACATTTTTGTTTCTTCTCATCATTAAGTTATATTAATTAAATCCATACATAATAAATTAATAATTTTAATAACATAAAAACTTAAACTTTTAAAATCTACCTAGGAAAAAAATAGTGTATTCATATAGGTGGTGGTAAGAAATTAAACCATTTTGGGTCAAATGGGTTAATCAATGTTGCCACAATTAAATAATAAAATTCAAAAATAGATAAAATGCAAAATTATAAAAATAAAAAATAATTGGGAACATTTTAATATCATGTATTCGATATATTAAATTATAAAAAGTATGATAAATAAGGAATGTTTTTATTAATGATGGAAATTGAATGTAAAATTTAAAACTAATTGGATATATTCTCTCATTAAACCCTATATTTAAAATATATTTTTTTTCATCATTAAATTCTACGGATTAAGGACACAACATTTATTTTAATAGTATAAAAATAAATATTTTGAAAAGTAATTTGAAACCCATGTTTATCAAATACTTTTTAATAATATGAAACCCATGTTTTTGACCATTGCTAAACCCCCCCCCCCCCAAAGTTAGGTAATTGCAATCACCTCCTCTGGACATTGTAACACAATTGCAAGTAGACCCCTTCTCTTATAATCCACAAACAAGAGACATGAAAATGTCGAAAATAACCATGTAGTTAATTTGACTAAAATGTTTATTTCCCAAAATTTCCCTTCATATCAATCACTAGCCCAAACCCTTCCAATCTCTTTTCCGAAATTGATTTATATTATAAATTTTCCCTTCATATGAATCCCTCAAAGTTGCAATTTAAACTTTTTTTTGTTGTTGTTCAAAAAGTTTGTATTGTTTGTTATGCAAAAACCAGCCTCAATAGTAATTGCATGGGTATTTTGGACATTCGTGTGCTTCTTGCTAGAGGATTTTAAAAGAGGGGATCTACTTGCAACTATATTAGAAAGTTCAAGGGAGGCGATTGCAATTACCAAACTTTAGGGGAGATTTCAATAATGGTCATAAATTTTAGGGGAGGTTTCAACAACTTATCCTTTTATAAAATTAATAAAAAATAAACAAAATTATTCTTCCATGCAAGTGGTGGGTAAGCTAATTCAATCTATGATATCATAATTAATATTTCCTATTTGGTCTAGGTCAACAATTCAGCTCTTAGGTCAAATGTGTCAATATTTGATGTAATAATTAAATAATAAAAAAATGAAAAATATATAAATTTTGCAAAAAAAAAAACATATGAGCGCATCTCTAATAATTGTATATTCATCTTATAAAATAGAAACAAGTTCCATAAATAAGAACTACTTTTATACACATGAAAATGTAAAAAAAGTAATTTGAATTTAGTCCCCTTTTAATTGTGAGGCGAAAACATGTAATTTTAACTATTATTTTTCAGATCATTCAAATCCCTCTCATTAAGTCATATATTTAAGGTGCTAATGCCCATATGGTGGAATGGGATGTTGATTCCCATTCTTGGGGGAATAGCCATTCCAGGGTTCCAGGAATGGGATTCCCATACAAGAGTCTATCAAAAAATAAAGAACTCATGACAAAAGGCCCAAACCTTAATGTTAATAAAATAATAAATTAATAATAAGTTAATAGTAATAAAAATAGTAATAACATATTAATAATAAAATAATAAAATATTCATCTAATATAACAAAAGTAATAATAATAAAAATAAATACATAATTAAACAATAAAATATTATGAAATTAATAATAAGATAATAATAATAATAATAATAATAATAATAATAATAAAAATATTATTCAAGTAATAATAATAATATAATTATATTTTAATAAAATATTCATAAATTAATGATAAATACTAATAAAATAATAAAAACAAAGTAACAATAAAAAAGTTAAAATATTATTTACTAAATAATAAGAATAATTAAGTACAAATAATATACATATATATAATATAATATAATTAAAGTAACAATAAAATACTAACATATTAATTATTGAATAATAATAAATTAATTCTAAAACAATAATCAAAATGATAATTAAAAACTAATAAAAAAGTACTAATAAAATGTAATAAATTAATAATAAATACTAAGGTATTAATTATTAAATACTAGTAAAATAATAATAACAAAGTACTAAGAAAATAATAATTATATATTCATAAAATATTAGTAAAGTAATAAAAAAATAACAAAAAGAGTAATAAAATTACTTTCAGTCCTATCCACAAATCAAACAGACCCTAAATCTCTTTTTTTTTCAACATTGAACCAAAAAATGAAATTGTCCTATCTTGCTAGGAAATAGGTAAGCAATTCAACCATTTGGGTCAAATGGGTCAAGCCATTATATCATAATTAAATAATAAAAATTAAAGAAAGACAAGAACACCGAATATACATTTAGAACATCTTTAATATAAAATTATTTTATAAACATAATATTACTCTCTTTGAAACATAATATTACTATTTTCATCATCTAAAATTACTACGTGCAAAACATGTGAAAATTTACTAATATATCTAATTAACAATAAATGATCATTCTAATTTTACCATTAACAAAAGACCGAAAAATTTTATGCTGTATTTGATTTGATAAAAAATAAGAGAAAAATAAAAAGTTGAGGGAAATTTGTTGACAACACAAACGAAAAGGGACAAAGAAGTTATGGGACGTGCAGGAGAGTTGTTAGAATAAGTAATTTATCCCAATTCTTCCCAACAAAAGAAAGAAACATCTGATCTGAGTTCAAATCTGCCCCCGCACCCAGTTTTTCCCCACAAATGCCCCACACGCTCACGAGCCGCCACCTGTCCCTTCACACGAGATACGTAAGTAGCGCGTGCGGGGCTAACATAACGTTCGTTAATCCCTTCCGTTACCCCCCAAAAGTCCCATTTACTCCTTCACCCTTCATTCGACAGCTCCAGGTTAGGTATCTCAAGACCCTCTTCTTCCTCTCCTCCCTCTCGAGTGCCTGACCCTAACTGTTTCTCCCTTGCCAGAGCATCTTCTCCTTCTCCTTACTCCCCGACCCATCTTTTCACCTCGTTTTTTATTTTTTCTTTATTTTTTCTGATGTTTTCGTTTTCCAGATATCAGATAAACCGGCGACATTTGTCATCTTCCCCTTCTCCGGCACCGGCACCTACAACGGCAACCGGCAGTACTCCCCAGCCCATCTTTTCACCTCGTTTTTGATTTTTTTTTTTTCTGATGTTTTCGTTTTCCAGATATCAGAGAAACCGGCGGACCAGATCATTTGACACTCCATTACTGAATAGTGAATTCACACATGTGAAGGAGTGATCAGATGTAACTGAAATTGAAGGAAAGGAGAAATAAGGGTGTAGGCATTTTCTAGTGGCTTTGGTGTACAACCCACGCTTGATGAGCAAATTGGAGTTGGCCGGGGGACCAGATCAATTAATGCAGTGGGTAGCCATGTCTTCAGTACTGTTTCTTCTTCATCGCAGCTGGGCTACTTTTTTTATAGAGTCGTAGCTGAACAAAACAAACAACAGTTGGAGGTCCCACAAGCTTTTTAATGGTTTTGTTCTAGCAAGGTGAGATGTCTACCTCTCTCTTTCTCTCTCTCAGGCTCAACGCTGTGCATGGGTCAGTGGATGTGTGGGGTAGTTCTGTTCTTGGAGTTGCCATTCTTATCTAGGCCTAACCCAGTCAGTGCAACTGTGCAATGACATATTTAGCCTCTCCTTCCACACTAACCACCTGGGAATCTGGAATTTCTTCAGAGACAAAAACCCAGCTACACAGTTCATGGAATTGCAGTCAGTTCATCAAAATAAACAGAAATTAATACAGAATTATCCCATCAGATCTCAAGCAATTAGAATTAATGGTCACCATGACTGATGACTCTGAAAGTCTTCACCATCAGCCAGTTAGCAAATTAATAATGGAGTTTGACTCAATAAGTTTATCTGTGCGGTTGGTGCTGTAGGTGGGGGGCCGCGCAAGTCACGTAAGCTGGAAGTCTCGTCAATCGATCAATAAACAAATTAAAAAAACCAAAGATTAACCAGTTTTGATCATCTAAACAAATGGTTTAATTTGCAGCAGCTGCATTAATTAAAGAAGAGATGAAGATGGTCTGCATATTGATGAAATTCTTGATGATGAGATGAAAGACTGAAGAGATAGTCACCACCTTCAATGAGTGAAAAGATCAGAAAAAAAAAGAAAATAAAAACGAGGTGAAAAGATGGGCTGGGGAGTCCGGTTGCCGTTGTAGGTGCCGGTGCCGGAGAAGGAGAAGATGACAAATGCCGCCGGTTTCTCTGATATCTGGAAAACAAAAACATCAGAGAAAAAAACAAAATTAAAAAACGAGGTGAAAAGATGGGCTAAGGAGTACCGTCGGTTGCCGTTGTAGGTGCCAGTGCCGGAGAAGGAGAAGATGCTCTGGCGAGGGAGAAACAGTCAGGGTCAGGCACTCGAGAGGGAGGAGAGGGAGAAGAGGGTTTTGAGATACCTAACCTGGAGCTGTCGAATGAAGGGTTTGAAGGAGTAAATGGGACCTTGGGGGGGATAATGGAAGGGGCTAACGAACGTTATGTTAGCCCCGCACGCGCTACTTACATATCTCGTGTGAAGAGACAGGTGGCAGCTTTGAGCGTGTGGGGCGTTTGTGGGGAAAAAGTAGTGGGGCGCGAATTTGAACTGATGTGATCAGATCTTCTACTTCAAATTCAACCCTTCAATTTTTCCAAGCTTAGTGCCTAGAAACATCCGGTTGCCGTCGGTGAACTGATTTTGACCAAAACCCCACACGTCTTCCATTAGATGTTTCATTGAATTTTTAAGGTAATACACAAACAAGAATTATTATTTCTCTAGAAAAATATAAATAAATAAACAGACAACATTTGCCATTTGCAAATGAAGTGTGTTGGCTCCTCCCAACAAAAGCTTGCGGAACATGATGAAACCCACTAAAAGACGAGATCAGATCAGCGCCACACAGCACCTCCCACCCGTGTGTTGAGAATATCTCACGGTGAGATGTACATGTGAGGCACTTGTGCGGCGCCAATATGATATCCCATAAGACTGAATCCTCCATGTATGTGATGTGCAGTCACAGATCATGTTGGAACGTTTTTTCTTGCTGACCTTCCCAAAAACGATGCGATATGGCAAACAAAATGAGAAGACGCGGGAGATTTTTCTTCCCTCCTTTTTATCATGAAAATCAAGGAAGGATAACTTCCCACGAGTAGCTTTGTTTTCTGACGTCCGATCAGAATCTACTCATTAACACTATGCCCCACTCTGTATCTTAAAGCTGTCTTTGTATTTTTTTGCCTTGTGTCGTACGCGGTAGCCTCCTCGCCGATTCCCACACGTAACCTCTCTCTTTCTCCTTTCCTTTCTTTCTCTCTCTCTCTCTGCACAGCTTCCTTCTTCCCTCTCCAGCGATCACATCACAAATCACAAATGCACGCTGTAGTTGCCGTAAGTTCTCTTCGCATCTGTCTTTTCTACAAAACAAATTCGCCTTCTTATTATTTTTTTTTCTCTTTTTTTCCTTATCTTGTCGAATTCTAATTTTCATAAAGGCTGTTGAGTTTTGAAATTCCTTAAAAGTTTTAGCTTTTTTAGGGTTTGAGTGCGAATTTTCAGAAACTAGGGCTTCGTTTATTTTCCTTGTTAGATCTTCAAATCCGTCCTCGAAAAGGTTCGTTTATAAATTTATTCAATCGGACCCTTTTGTTCTGGTAATTATCTACGTATGGCTTTCGGAATCTGTAAATCCATTCGGAAAGCGTCAAGAAAGTGTTTCTATGGAGTTTCAGATCGTTTTTTTCATCCTCATCCACCATAAAAATTCAGTCTTTCTTGTTAGTGATTATTCCCTCTTTTTTTTGTGGAAGATAATTTTGTTTGACTTTTTCGTTTTAATCTTTCTTTGTAATCTTTTAATCGTTCATCCCCTTTTATGATTTTTCTCTTACCATGCTTTGCTTTCTTGGTTGTTCTTCAGTGAGGAAGGTCAAGGTCCTCTGTGCGCGTGTCCCGTGCTCTTCTCCATTGGGTCTTAATAAAAAAAAAAAAACAAATAAAACATCGCGCGATCGATCGGGCATTCAGAAGTAGAACTTGCTCCAATGGCGGTGAATCTGTGGCACGACAAGCGTGAGCGAGAGATGTACGACAACTTCGCCGATCTCTATGCCATCATCAAAGCCACGGAGAAGCTCGAGAAGGCCTATGTTCGCGACATCATCTCATCGACTGAGTATGAGCCAGAGTGTTTGAAACTGATTGCCCAGTTCAAGACCCTGGCCTCCACACTCAAGGATACCGTCCCCAGTGTCGAGCGCTTCGTGGACACCTACAAAATGGACTGCCCTGCTGCTCTCAACCGTCTCGTTGTCTCCGGCGTTCCTGCCACTATTGAGCACCGGCGGGCTGCTGCCGCTTCGGCTACCACGTCTGCGGCAATCGTAGCCGAATGCGTGCAGCATTTCATCACGGCAATGGACTCGTTGAAGTTGAACATGGTTGCTGTCGATCAGGTGCACCCCTTGCTTGCAGACCTCTCCAGCTCTCTCAACAGGCTCAGCATACTGCCACCCGATTTTGAGGGGAGGGCTAAGATGAAGGAGTGGATTGCAAGGTTGTCAAAGATGGGAGCTGCAGACGAACTGACCGAGCAGCAGGCGCGGCAACTGCATTTTGACCTTGAGTCATCGTACAACTCTTTTATGGCCGCCTTGCCCAATGCGGGGACTTGATTTTTCAGGTGAGATTGTATATATATGAAAATGTTTTTCCTTGGACTATAATGATTGTTCGAAGAAACTTAACGAATGGCTGGAGGAGATGCACCGATTTGATTAGAACTTGTGTATTTTGACTTTTGGGATACTTGCTCTTTAGTTAATCTTTGTACTGATCGTCTGTTGCAAATTATCAAAAACTCTCAGATTGCATACTACATTAAGAAAATTGAGCTGCATTTGTCTTTTCTGCTCTGCTTTTCTAACCTATCATAATTGTATTAGATGTTAATTGTTTTTGGTTTTTATATGATTTCTAGTAACAATGATTACCATTCCTAAGGTTCTTTATCCTCCCCCCTTCCCCCCATTTGAGCTCTTTCTATTTCAATGTTAAAGGGGTGTAAGTTTTACATTGAAACAAAAATAGCCCTAGTTTTCGATTTATTGGAAAAGAAGATTTAGTACCCAAAAATATCCAATGACTGAGAAGATAAGGATTATCCATTTATAGGACAAGGATTTAGCTCCACTAGATAATTCTTGTAGATTTTTTTTTTCTTTATGCATGTACGTGTAACTACTTGAACCTTTTTTCTCAAAAAAACTCCTATCAATCATGGCATAAAAATATTAAAGAGAACCCTCGTAATCTCTCTGCTACTTCCTTCTTGTAATTCTGAGGGCACAATTTCATACATGTAGCTTACAACAAGTAATTTTTGTTCAATGCTGCCTCATTTGTAGTGTAAGACCAACCGAGTTAAAACATCTACTTTTGGAATTATCATGTCCAGAAGGTGTGTATACTTGTATGTGTTCTGTATTGAGGGAAGTTATCCCTCCTTTCTAATACAACTAGTAAAAAAACTGTTATCTTGTTACAGAACTTGATCTAAGCAGGGATAGTTTCTTAAAGATGGATCTGATGGTTCGAACGTATTCTAGTTGCCAGTTGCAAAAACAAATTGCAAAAATTAAATTTAAAACTTGCTTTTCCATTACCAATCAAAACAAAAAAATTTGCTTTTCCCAGAATCATTCTATTAGCATAGGATAAAAAAAAGGATTGATATTTGGACTCTACTGGTTGAATTTGGAGCCTAAGTTCTTGTTGATAAATTTGAAGTCAAGTTGTATTAGACATGGATAATTTCCATAATCTTTTAAAATCTTAACTCCTAGATTTTATAATTCAGAGGATGCATTTGTTTGGCATGTAACTTGTTGCAGATTGGCTACTAATGGCCAAATGCTGGAGTTGAAATTGGCAAGTATGAGCCTTGAAAGCAGAAAATATTCCTGCTGCATGACTTGTTGGTTTGTCTTTTGTTTATGGCAAGCTAGCTATTCTTGTATGATTCCCCTCTCATCTTTGTAATCAGTTCAGTTTATGGCAAGCTACCAACCAGTTCTCAGAAAACAAATTTTCTGTAAAGCTGTAAACAAGGGACCTTTTTCTGTGGATTTTGTTTTTCTTTTCTTGATTGTCATAGATATTGATCGATAAAACCTTCATGGTTTACTTGGTAGGAATTTGAGCGTCAGCCTAGGACCAAGTTTGTGTTAGTGATACGTTGAGGATGCTTGGATTGAGTCACAATTATAAATATCATCTTGAGAAAAAAATTTGGAACCCAAATATGGGCGTGTTTCCCCAATCAGACAGAATGCAGATGCAATAGCCATAGCCCCAGCCAGATGTCTTGTCACCTACTAAAACCTATTTGCTTTGGTAATTGGTATATGATATAAAGGCGAGCTCGAGTCGAACTTCTCTGAAACATCTTGTTCCGTATAGGTGCAACCAATTTCTTGATTAGATATGGAATCCTTGAATATATATAAATAACATTAGCGTAGGTTGCTTCAAATTTATATATACATGGATGATTAAATTTGTTTTCTTAAGCTTTGAATGCAGTTATAGTTCTCCTTTTCATTTCTAATGGACACGAAGGCTGTGGTTGGTTGCAATGCGAATAAATTTGCACTCATGTAAAACTATGACAGTGCAAATGATTTGAGTGTAAATTCTGACCTATTTTTGTTTTATTTTTTAGCTTATTTTGTTTGATTGCAGCACAAATTGAAGTAAATTAAGACATGAAGCCGAATAAAGTAAAATCCTGAACAAAATTAACCAAGAATTTGCATTTTTTTTACATTTGCACTCCCATGCATTTGTACTATTTGCAAATAAATTAAACAAGCATTTGAATTACAGAGAACAGTACCCATTTAAATTAGGGCTTCTCTGTATGGACATAGTGGATTCTATATTCAGGTGTAGAGGACGAATATTAATGTGATATAGGACTCTTGATTATTGAGGTTGTTTTAGGTATTTTTATCTCTTGAGGCTGCGCTTGGCTGCAGTTCAAATAAATTTGCACTGATGCAAAACTATGGTATCAAATTCTGATTTATTTTTGTTTCAAACGTTACCTTACTTGGTTTGATTGCAGTATAAGTGAAGAAAAATAAGACCCGAAAGATAATAAAATAAAACCTATAAAATTAAACCAAAATCTGCATTTTTTATTTGCACTCCCATACATTTGTATTAGTACAAATAAGATTGCATTGCAATCAACACAGCCTGAAGGGAAAAAAAGCGAAAACAAAATACCTATCATCACCTTAGGTACTTGGTTCCAATATCAATTCATCAACATAGAATCCTTAATTTTATCATACCACCCGTGGATTTGTTCGCTGATGACTCCCAGTCCAAAATTTGAGCCAATCAAATGGATCGAAATGAAAAATACTGTCGTGCCAGAGTTCCTTATGACAGCTTAATATGATAGTTATTTGAACACTTGGAAACATTCTTCGCCAGTTGATAAACCTTGAATCAAATAATGCATAGTGATTTATGTACCAAATGTATAATTCACATTAGCTCCCAATCCTCTTTGCAGAAGGATTTGTGCAATTAGGTCATATATATTGCTTCTTCTGCAGCAAGTTATAGTTTGAAAGCTGCTTCAAAGAAGAAAATTAGCTTCCAAGTGATTCCCATTTTATGAGCAGTGTACATTTGTTTCATGATTTGAATCGGAGTCTGCAGCATTTTGTGTTGGATTTGAAACAGTTGGTGGTGAATTCCCCAAAGGATCTAAACAAAGCTTCTGAATTTCAAGAGACCATTGTACAGACTCAGAAATGGAAGGCAAATAGGTCTCTATTTCACCATTGCATCTCTCTCTCTCTCTCTCTCTCTCTTTCTCTCTCTCGCTCTCGACATACATTACGAGGACACAGCACCAAAAATTATGACAATGCACGTCCACTTCCTTGAGCTCTTTTGATACTCTCGCAACTCGGAGTTGTTCAGTTCCTAGTCAGACAAATGCATTGGCACGGGGCAACATGACTCTCAATATCGTTGATATTGCTGGCCCTGGGCTTCCACTGAAGTAGGCATTGTCCAAGAAAGCTTGATGGAGTTAAATGAGATCTCTTTCAATCTCCTTATGGTATTGAGGATCTGAGTATCTGACCCCTTATTTGCTTTAAATCCCCTCGAGCTTCTTACCAAGCCCATCAACCACAACTCAAAGGCCCAGGTCCACCCACACCTTGGAAGATTTTGGTGAGCAACAATGGATGGATGATGGATCCCTCAATTGCCTCTAGCTTCTCCTTAATGACCTCGACTTGTTTCAAAACCTCATCATCTTTATCCCATCTGAGACCGGAAATCTTTCACGCTCAATAGGAGACCAGAATCAACAAACTAACCTGTACGAAGCCTGAGAGCCATTTCATTGGGGGGGAAGAGGGCGGGGGGGAGAAAACACAAATTTAAGCAAGTACACATGAATTGCCACGTGTCATTTCTTTCTTCATTATCAGACTTAACCACTCCCTTCGTGACAAACAAACCACCCACCTAACAAGCTCGTGCACGTCCCTTAACAAGCTGATAACAAATCAAACATTTTCATACATTGGAATTAGGACACAGCATGACCTTTCACGCAAAGGCTTGTAAGATTGCTTGGCTGGCGGGGGAGAATTTGGGATCTTCCGCCAACAACACTCATTCCAACCCTCCACCAGCTTCGTCTAACACCGCACATTTCACCATGAGAATGGGACTCACCATAAAAGTAGGACCCATGAGATGTGCTGTGTGAGATAATATTAGTAGATGGGTTCCCATCGTTTTAGGGTTTCATTCACCCTCTACTGTTGCTGCCGCTGAAACAAACAAATGATTGCAGCATTGAAGCAGAAAATAGAGGACCAATCAATAGTCTTAGGTCAGGATTTTCAAATACCTGAACCGGTAGCACATAAAAATGGCTCTGACAATCTTTTCTCTTTTTCAAAATAGAAATTCCCCTCATGAGTGTGTCCCTATTCCCATCTGTTCCTCACCTCCATTATAACTTTCTGGTTGAGATTTCAAAAATTAGAACAGAGAATCCTCTCGTTCTCCCTCCGTGAAATTAAAAATGAAAATTATAAAAAACACAACTTCAATTTCTCCTCCAAAAAGAAGCTAAAAAGCATCCATTATCCACTGCTACATATATCTCTCCCTTTCTCCTTGTTTCATCATCTCTCCTGCTCTCTCGTTTTTCCCGGGCAACAGCAATTGATGCCATCTCCCTCCATGAATAAAACAATAAAGAGAACATCCCTCCTTTGCCAACCAGATTAGCCCAATTCATGCAATCAATCCCTTTTTTACCGATAAAAAATGTGGAGGATCAAAAGGCCTCTTGAGAACATTACCCATCTCATCTACCCATTAATGGCTTTTGAAGCTAGAGAAAGAACGGATCAAAGTGTGAAGAAGCGGTGTCACTTGACTCCTAGAGAGAGAGGGTCAATAGAGAGAGAGATAGTAATTTACAAAATGTATATAAACTAATTTACAAAAGGGTAAAATGGGTATTTGGAAAATATTGATGCATGGATCTAACGTTTTCCGTCTGGGTCAGTGATGGAAGGGAGGATTTTGTTTATTTTTTTAAAAGTCTAAGGGAGGTTTTTGTTAAAGTAAAATTAAAGGGGAGGTTTTTATTATTGTCAGAAACTTTAGGGGAGGTTTTTATATTTTACCCTAGAAAATAAGAATATAAGTGTCGATGAACCAGGTTTAGGTTGGAATAAATCTAAATTAAAACCGATTGGAACAGAATGAGTCCATTTGTAATGGACTCATATTGGACCGGGTCAGATCGGACCAAATATGGTCTAATTGACACCCCCTACAAGTTCTATCAATATATGATTGTGTTTTCATCTCTTTTTTTGGCATCAATTGTGTTTTCGTCTCGTTTTTTGGTATCAATTGTGTTTTCGTCTCTGAAGTTATGAAGCTGCCACCAACACAACCCCACCTCCATCACCAGAGGCAATAGACCCTACCCCACCATAGTTTCATGATCTCTCCAATTCGACCATAATGACCAGTAAAGGCCGCTTCTTGATCAGTTCCAACCGAGAATTGTTGGATATCATTATGCGTTTTTAACTTCAAATAATTGAGAGGTTATGCAGAACGAAGATGTTGCAACCTTGACATAGAGTAGGCAACGTGTCCTCAATTGCAGACATGTGGATGAAATCATAATGGGTTTTTTGAAACCATGTTCAATGGAATCATTTCCTTGAGTATGTGTTTGGTTTCGTGGGCGTTTATGGATAGGCTGTTTATTTGTATTTTTTCACTTTAAATGTTTATTTGTACTTTTTCACTTTAAACGTTTCCTGTTTTTGTTGTTTGGTTGGACTTCACTTTAAATGTATTTTACTCTCCACTTCAAATTAATACCCATTAAAATGTGTCAATAAGTATTTAGTTTCAAGAAACACTAGGGCGTTGGGGAAAACAAGAATTTGACATTTCCTCAAATGTCCCATGCACAAAAAAATCAAAGCGTTTTAGTTTTCTACCATTTATTTGATAAACGGTGAAACCAAACAATTGTTTCATTTTGCTTCATATGCAATAAACGCCAATGCCTGTGTGGCGCTGATGTGGTGGCATTTTTTCAATAAACACCCATAGAACCAAACACAACCTGAATCTTATTCAACGTTTAAAAGCATGAAGTAATTGCTTGAAAATTAATCCAGTTAATAAAAACAGATATGAAGTCATGTACAATTCAAGAATTAAAATTCATTTTCTATTTTCATTTACTTTGCAATATGGGTACAATCAAATATAATGGCTTCCAAATGCTAGATAAATAATTTGAAATTTAATAATAATACCATTATGACATTATATACTATTAAGCAGTTTGACAAAAAAAAAACCAAGATCCTTGTTTGAGGCTGCAAATTTGCAATTTGAAGGTGCTTCATATGGATTTTTTTAGTAGATTTTTCATGTGTCATTGAAATTTTATCATTTCATGAGATGAGGCAATCATGGTCTTTGACAAATAAACTTAAAAGATATAGCTACTTTAGTTCGCACGACATGGATAAGAAAATAGGACAATGAGATGGGATTAGTATTCTCAAAGTAAGGGACATAGGGTCTCACCAAATAGGTGTGACCCCAGTGAGAAACGAAAGTAGTGCGACGAGTGTGAGAAAATTTTGTCGAGGGTGGAATGTTTTCATCTTCCACCTCTGCAATAGTTCGAACTCCAACCACCTTATCTTTCATCTCCGGTGAGGTTTACGGCCTCCGGTAAGTACTCACATCCCCTTCATGTTATTTGGTGTTTTATTCCACCAAAAATACCCTTTTCTTCCTCCATCAACTTCGATCTCAGATCTTAGATGACAAGGAGATAGGGTATTGTCTTTATCTTCTCTAACGAAGGTAACCTTATTTTTGTCTTCTCATACAACAAGGAGATAGGATTTTGCTTCACACATCACTCACAATATTTTTTTTTTTGCATTTTTTTATCAAGAACGCTTTTCCTTCCATGTGTTTTAGGTGCTTAGCGAATAAGGAGCACGGGTTCGTCTTTGGAGACCGGAGTTCTCATCCTCATTTTCTATGAAGGTCAATTTTCATCCTCATCTTCTTCCCATATCTTCTCCATTTGCCAACCCTTTGCTATTGGGTTGCTAGATCTAAAACCCTTTTATTTTTTTGTTACTATAAATCCTTCTTCATTGTATAGATCTACTAAACAAAAAGTGTTTTGATATAAATCTAACATGAATTATTTGCCCTAACAACATAAACTTCTCTTGCAAATTTGCTCTTGGATCTGCCAGTTCTCATCAACCAAACGATAGAAGCAGATTCTATAGGATAGTGGGTCTCAGCAAACATAGTGACCAAAAATGAGAAAATAAAATTTTCTTTTCTCATCCCACTATTTCTTGACAACCAAACTTATCATAAATTTTCAAAAGAAAAAGAAAAAGTACACTGAACCTCCCTATTTTTGAAAATTGTGTATGATCCTCTTGAAGAACGACAGCTTAATTTGTTGCTTAATACAGAACTGTACATGAGGATATCTAGGAATTAGAACTGATAGTAGACTGAGCTTTACATGCAAAAAAGTAGTCTACTGTATAAACTGCAGCATTGTAGCTCCTATTCGACTATCAAGGATGGTTGTTTGGGATTTTGGGCACACCCTCATTCATTAGATAAAGAAGTTATTTCAGAAGACAAAAATACTCGTATAGTTTTTTTTTTTTTTTTTTTTTTTGGTTTTTGGGTAATGAGAAATACCCATATAGTTTTATAGTTCTATCGTTACACAGGCATCTCTTGCGTTTTCTCTGGGGGGTATGCCTAGTTTGTAAAAAGATGGGATGTTCCCTAGAGTATAGAATTGTATAGTCCTTCCTCTTCGCTATTTATTTTAACAAGTCCACAACAAATAGGTAATATTCGAATGTAAAGATGTAAATGTATATAAATGGTGTAATTAATTGCTGATAAATATTGCTAAAAATCATAACTATATATCTGCAAACTTGTTTAGTTTGTCTCAGAAAAGCTACTTTTAGGCTCCTCTCACCCTAACTACCAAAAACAAAAGGAAAAAAAAAAAATCTTCTAATCTTGGAACACCTGATGTGCACTATATTTTGCTTGGTAATTAACAAATTTGATAAGTTATATAACAATATCTTGTTGTAGTTGCTGGTTATGTTCTTGTCGTTGCAATGATCGCAGTTGCACACTGTTACACCTTAGGTACCTCTCCTGTATCTGTCCACATAGAACCAAAGAAATAATATTATATGTTGAGAGAGAGAGAGAGAGAGAGAGAGAGAGAGAGACGAATTCTATATTAATGCGTTGCTTGTTGTCTATGCATGTATGAATTGATCTTCACAATTTATTACCATTCTATTTAACATATTTCTCAAACTCTAGGTTATATGATAGACTGTTGGGTATGAAATAAGTAATAAACGGTGTTTATTAATACCTCTAGCTCAGAAACTGCTTCTAGTAATTCAAAGCATTCCACCAATAACGCCTTCTCTCCAGAAACCACTTTTGCTAGATCTGAGAGCAGTGAAGCTGTCTCCTGTGCCTGTTAATCTCATAAATTCAAGCTATTTATTGAATATAGATAGAACACTCAAAACTATCAGAGTCATAGTTCAGTATAGCCTGTACCATAGGTGAATAATTAGTTAACATTGTCTGAGTCGAAAGTGCAAGATCTGTTGCATGCCCAATTTCAAGTGATGTCGATCCCAAGTCCACCTACAAACTCTTACAATTGTGACTACAGATAGCATAATAGATAACAATTAATGGCTGAAAAGGTTTTAATTTTGAAGCTTACCTTTGCGCCTTCTACAAGGGGAACCCTACAAAGAACTGAATGTAAGCAATCTTTAGTCATGGAAAACGCCAAGAGATAATGGCTTTCCAACTCTCCCCAAGCTTCTAGTAGCTTAATCTGCACGCATATCACATTTCAAAACATCTAAATTGTATTGTATTTGTTAAAAAATGATAACATAAAAGGAATTGGTAAGTTGATATTAGGTTTACTTAACTTGAGAACTGAGTATTTCATTCAACTTCAGTTCAAGCTTCTCTTTTTGGAGTTCAATACGCTTTTGAGCCACTGAAAATTGCAACTTGGACAGACTACTGTATACATTTGACAAATTTCTCTGCAATATCATCAAGTACATGATTGATTGATCCTGATTACTTTGAGGAAATACAACAACAATACCCAAAAGACTGACTACAGTTCATCTAGTTTACAATTTTGTTTACCTCTGCTTGACTAGTCCTCTTTCGATTCATAGCATCAGTCTTGGCGTTCACGTATCTCCACTGAATCAACCTATTGTGCAGCAGACGAAACTGATGAGCAGTTTCGGTGATCCCCGATGGTCCGATGGATGAAGAACAAGATGGAGTAGATCTTTTGCTCTTAAACAAATTGAAGAAACTATTAACCCGGTTTGTTTTGAAAGAGTTATCTAGCGGCTTCGGGCTTGAAGATGACGACGCCTTCCCCTTAGTCTCCATAAGTGATCGACCTGGTGAGAACGCCCATTGCCATGTTGATGTTTCATGTGAATTTAGTGAATTTGCTCTCCTGATCATTGCAGCTTTTGGTAATTGTTTCGAAATGTTTGAATTGGTAGTTCCTTGCTGTTGTCTTGTTGATGAATTGTGTAGATACCTTGAAGATACCTTCATGCCGGATCTCTTAGAGCTAGCTGTTGATGAAAGGTAGGACGAGTTTGACGAAGATAAGGATGATTTTCTGCCCGTGGTGGGAGAACCGAAATCAGTGCTAGAAAAGGCTTCACTGCATTCTGATTCCGAGTCAAGAACGTCGATAAAAGAGTTCGATGATCGTCGAGATCTCCGGTCAAGAGCATTTTCATCTATGGACAATCTTCCAGGAACTAAAGATGAATTAGAAGATGAAGCATTAGAACAAGTCTTTCCCGTACATCTCGACCTTCCAGTGCATCTCATTGGCCCCCCAGTGATGGGGTGATGATTCTCTTTCGAGTTCATATTTTCGTTCTCGAACCTGCTGATTTCGGAGCAACTCCGTTGTTTGGCGAGATGCAGAGAGTTGTTATTTGCAGAGGATCCGTCACTGTTCCTTCCCTCTATGAGATTCTTTAGTCTCTCGTTCCCAAGATGATCGGCTAGAGTACTCGATTTTTTACCCAAAGATTGAGAAGTATTCGAGGAAGACCAAAGCCCTCGGATCAGTGCTGTTTCGTCCACGTTTCGATGTTTCCGAACATCGGCGGCTGATCCAGTCGTTAGTCGGAGAGGCGAGAGTGTTACCTGATTTGGAGATGGAATTCCTGGTTCGGTGGAAGCAGTTGAAGGTGGAGAAAGAAATCGAGAGCTCACTTCGCGAGATTTCAATCTTCGAGGTTTGGGAGAATGGTCTGAAGCTGTGTTCTGGTTCTTCATTTTATTCTGTATTCCTCCTCTCTTCTCTTCTCTCTTCGAAGTTCAGAAGCAGGAGAAAAAGATATTCACAATGCGAGAGAGAGAGAGAGAGAGAGGAGAAGGTTTCAAACCCAGGTTGTTAGGATTTGGATAGGATTCAATTCATGTTGGTTTTTTTTGAAAAGTAGTTGGGAAGAAAACGAAAATATTTTTGAAAAGGCGGCAAAATAGACTCCTTGTCGTTCCGGGTTCAGCAACGGTGTCAGGAAGTCCAAAGTTTTTTCCTACGAAGTACGATGATTCGCATTGGCTGCTCAAAAAATCAGCTACTACGGGTGGAGCAGCGGTGGGCTAAAATGGTGAATCACAGCCCTTCATGCATTGACGTGACCCCACAAGTCATAACAATGCAACGCATGAAAGACCGTGATTTCAATAGGGGTGAAATTTGGGCGGATCCAGCTCATAAATTTACACGGGTTGTGTTTGGCTTAGACCGAAAAGTTTGGTTTTTTTTTTTATTTTTCGGGCTGAGAATCTGAGATTAGGCTTAGTATTTAAGTAGTCGGAACCCAGTAAAACCTTATCCCTATATATATACAACTATACATACTTACATACATCATACACATACATGTATAATAATGATCTTCGGACCATTATTGACCCAGACAATTAGACCATTTGGCCCAGAAATCACAGAGAGCCAGCTCCGTTTCTCTCCTGAATCATTCTTTTGCCAAAAACTCTTAACTTGGTCAATGGCCCATAAGCTCAAGTGGTCAAACCGTTAACCTGCTCAACCCAAATAATGGCTTTGATCATTTTTTTTTTAATTGCAATAAGACTCTATTTAGACCGAACAGTTGAACCGATGATCCAAAAATTGGTGGCAAAAATAGTTTCAGTTTTGGTGAGTTTTTAAAACATTGACTTTTAGTATGGGCTGAATGACACACCCGAGCCCAAACCAAGTGCATCAAATTTTAGTGATTGTTGGGCTCATGTTGAATAGTGTATCAGTGGGTCATTGCAAAGTTGTGATCCTTGATGATGTTCCCAATACATGACTGCAATTGTTATGAGAACCGTGTGAGGACAAAATCCAATCTCCATCATATCTTAACGTGCATTACAAACATCTCCCGTAACAAGATCATATAATCATTCCACGTGGAAAAAATAGGTGGTGTCGTTTTTGGGATATAAATTATCTAATAAAGTATTTATAATCCCTTCAATTTTAATCATCTGTTCCATTCCTTGTATTTGAGTTCATTTGATGTAAATATGTTTGATATCAAGTGTCCAAACCAATTTGAATATTTTTTGGATTTGATTCAACATCTTTATTGACCCATTCTTTCTCTCTTTTGGAAATTAACATTCTCTTTGTATATTCTATCTAATTTCGCTCTATATTCCTGGATTCTTGCCAATTCAATGGAGCAAAAGAAATTCTTAAGTAGTTGATACTGAAAAGGGTTCTACTAACCTGTGAAAATCTCAGCCTCTCATTTCATACTAGCTGAGGTCATCAAGAGGGACCTGGGGATAGAAAGTGTGTGGCATGCCTGCCTTATAAAGGGGCAGGGGCTGTGTTGTTACAAATGCAGTGTTTTCCACATTTTAGCATTTGCCAACTGACAAAAAAAAGAAGATTGGTGCAATTGCATGCTAAATTGTGGTCCTCGCGACTGATGAAAAGATGTGAAGATGTCAATTAGTGCTCATTTAAGGGGGTGTTTGTACTGTAGGATGAAAGGCAACTGCCCACTTGACAAGGTACCAGTTCTTTTTTTAAGGATCCCAATCAAAAACAACTCTCTATTTTGCCACCTAAAGCTTTTATGTACTTGTAAATGATCGTTAATTACCAAGCCCACGAGTTGTTGAAACTCGCAGCAGCTACAAATGCATCATTCGAACCACCCACATTTTTTTTTATCAATAACAGTGAAATTTTATTAATAATAAAAATCAGGTTTACAAAAGGATGAAGCTAAAAAGTCTTAACTCCAGCTACCCAAGAAACTTTCTGACCATGCAGTGATTATAAAACAGCCCAAAATAATGTATCTCTATTTATCCCTTGCCTAGCTAAACCATCAGCCAATGCATTTGCATTTCTCTTTGTCCATGTACGTTGAATTTCCATGTTCTTGGTTAACCACTTATACTTTCTCATTTCATTGCTGTATTTCCACATCATAGCACTGTCCTCTTTTAGCCATTTCACCACCGTTTCATAATCGCCTTCTATAATCACCTTTTTGGTGTTCATTTCCTTGACCTTTTGTATCCCTTCAATAGCTCCTAAAATCTCAGTCCTCAAAGAGTTACCCACCCCAATTGGCCCAGAGTACAAGGCTAACAAGTTCCTTGTTTCATCCCTTATCACAACCCCAATTCCGGAAGGCCCTAGGTTGCTTATGCTGTTGCCATCAAAGTTCAGTTTAGTGAACCCAAGGGGTGGAGGAGTCCAACACACTTTTAATATCTTTCTACATAAACCTGAATCTGCAATCTCCTTCCAATTCCTTAACAGCTCATCAACTGAGAACACTTTGAACAGCTCCAATGTTCTCAACCATTGTACCATCCTAATGTGGATGATCTCCATTATTTCTTCCACACTTCTCTCTTTATTTGAGAAGATCCTTGAGTTCCTCTCCTCCCACACTGTCCAACATACTGTAGCTCTACCACACCTCCACATGATTTTAGCCCTTTTAGTTGGCCAATTAGGCATGAAAGAAAATAGGCTTGGAGCATTCAAAGGAGGAGTCCACCTGCATCCAAACAAAGAAGTAATCTATACCCAAATAGCTTTAACAAACCGACAAGATATTAGTAAATGATATCCAGACTCACCATCGGACTTACAGAGAACACACCAATGAGAAGACAAGCAGTTGTTGGGTCTTTTCCTTTGGAGTAGATCCCCTGTATTAACTCTTCCCAGGAAGGCTTCCCAACCTTAGGAGGTATAGGTCGACACCTCACTTCTTTAACAGGAAAAAAGGAACCAACAGGATGAGAGGGTAACAGTGCTTTGAAAAAGGAGGCACAAGTGTAGGAACCCAAGGGAGTGAGTGTCCAGATTCTGCTATCTACTTTAGATGGCTTAGTGAATACTCCTTCAAGGATAGATAGTAAGGCTATAGTACAGGCAAACTCTGTGTCCCTAACACCTCTTCTCAAACTTAAATTCCAACCAAACCTAGAAGGTGAATTGGAAGGAACAAGAAAGGATGAAATTGGTTCATTCTTAAGGGAATACATAGCAAAAAGGCCTGGAAATTGATCTTTCAAAGGGGAATCCCCAACCCAAACATGTTCCCAGAATTTGATAAGGTTACCAGAATGGAAGTCATACTTGATCCATGGAGAAAATAAAGGCAAGATGGCTTGAATACCTTTCCAAGGGGAAGCTCTTGTAGCCCGTGCTAGAATTCCCGAGTCCCATCCATTATTTGCCAATTCATGTATACTTCCCACCACCTTAACCCACAACCTTTCTTTCTCCAATGAGAATCTCCACAACCATTTCCCTAGTAAAGCAAGATTCCTAATCCTAATATTACCAATACCCAACCCTTCTTCCTTTTTACCTCTATAGACCACCTCACACTTTGCCCTATGGTCCTTGTTCTCCTCCCCCGGCTCCTATAGAAAATCCCTCATTAGCTTTTCCAATCTATTAGCCACCTTCACCGGTATCCTAAAAACTGACAAAAAATATACATGAAGGTTAGCCAATGTAAACCTAATTAAGGTGATTCTCCCTCCTAGAGACAAATAATTTCGTTTCCAGTTTTCAAATCTCTCCACAATAGGGGCCCAGAAATCATCTCTTTGAGGATTATCCCCTAAAGGTAAGCCAAGGTAGGTTAATGGCCAGTTAGACACTACACATCCCAACATATCTACATACTCCCCAATCTCCCTTTCCCTCATATTGACTCCAACTATACAACTTTTTTCAAAGTTGTTCAAAGAGTTGTATAGAGAGTCTTAAATTTTTAATCCAATTGATATCCCCTCCTTCACAAAACAGAGTCGTATCATCTGCAAATTATAGATGTGTAAGTGGTACCTTATCCCTTCCAACTCTCCACCCTCTGATGAGTTCCTTGGAATCTGCTTTGGATATCAATCCCCCCACCACTTCAGCTACCAATGTAAACAAGAAGGGGGATAGGGGGTCTCCTTGTCTAATCCCCCTCAAGGCTGGGAAATAGTCCACCATTGTTCTGTTCACCAAGATAGAATAATGGCAACCCCTAATGCATCACATCACCCATTTGCACCAAATGTCTCCAAACCCAAAATTCATCATCACCTCCACTAAGAAAGACTAATCAATCATATCATAAGCCTTTTCCAGATCTAGTTTGCAGACCACACCTCTTTTCCTAGATCTCTTGTAGTCCTCTAAACTCTCACTTGCTACAAGAATTTGATCTGTTATTTGTCTCCCTCTCACAAAATCTCCTTGATTGTTCGAGATGATAGTTGGTAGCACCCTTCTGATTCTAATTGACAGCACCTTAGTGATGATCTTATAGAGGTTGTTAACTAAACTGATCAGCCTAAAGTCCTTTGGATGGCTTGCATCACTTTTCTTGCGAACTAAAACAATGAATGTGGAATTTAACCCAGGGTTAATCACTCCTCTGGTATGGAATTCATCAAATACCAACAAAATATCCTCCTTTAAAATCTCGCAACAATCTTGGTAGAAAGCCATCTTAAAACCATCTAGGCCCGGTGCCTTTTATTTCTTCCAACTCAAATTTCCTCTCCAACCAATCCCTTTCTTCTCTCTTCAGTGTTGGCCAACCCAAACCCTCCAACCATACCCTATTATTCAGTGGCCTTCTATATATATTCCTAAAATGACCTGCAAATGCTTCTGCAATTTCTCTCTGACTTGTGGCTATTTCCCCTTCAATTTTCAATCTAGTAATAACATTTTTCCTCCTCCTGCCACCAGCCAAGGCATGAAAGAATTTAGT